GAAAATCGCGACCGGAGAAAAATACCAGAACGGGTGGAACTTTACAGAGACCGAAGCGACATTCACATCACATTTATTAATTGATCTCGTAAACTGAAATAAACAATGAAGGACTAGCGTAAGGCAGTTGCACAAACAAACGTTACAAGGCACTAGCGATCGACAAATGAAAACCCTCAGAGGCAACAAAATAGAACTAAACAGGCTAAATGCAAACAACCAGAAACGAGCGAAACTATAGAACTAATATAAAGAAATCGACTCAGATATCCACGCGGCCACGAGGTCGCGGTACGTAAAATCACAATGATCACACATAAAATGAATAATATATTAATCGAACTGCGAACTGGGCTAACCACAAGCAATAAAGATAAATTACGATGAAACGAACTTACATATCTGTCCCGCGACACCGTAGGCCTTTATAATCTCTTTTTGTAGACCACAGCAAAAAATGTCTACTCCACACACACGCTCCGCACGTACTAAATCAATCACATCCAAAAATAGCCAAAGAACCTAACTGTAACGTAAAGCACTGTCACGCAAGTGACGCGTGTAACTGTAACTTAAAGCGCCGTCACGCAAATGACGTGCATCAACAGAGATATAACGAAGGTTACTTTGTTTAAGTGCGGCTGTGCTCAATTTTCAGTTTGGCTGTTAAGAAATCCCGCCCTGTTTAGCCCTGTAAACGAAGAACAGCGAAGGTATAATACAAGAGCAAAGCAAATCTGCTTGTGGAGAACGTTCATCAGATTTTTTCCAGACTCTCTTATACCTGAACAACATCCCAGTTTGAAGGACGTTGTTGTCGTGAAGATGAAAGTAAGATGTTGACAAGCATGATTTTGAAGAATTGTTTTACCTCTCTCTCTCTCTTTCCCTCTCTCTCTCTTTTCCCCCTGTCTGCCTCTCTGTTTGCCTGTCTCTGTTTCTGTCTCAATACCAATGGTGATTATAATAGTAACTTTCATGAAAAATGTGCGCGTCTTCAGCCTTCTACTTTACTTATTTAGGATACACCCAGAGCACAAGATAGTAGTAAAGAGTTAGAAAAATCACTGAGGTCTATAATGTGGACAAAATGTACGATCCCCACCGTTGATGAAGGACTGTCAGCAATGAATATAAACGTCCTTGTTCGAGCTGTTCTCATGTACTTAGACGACACATCCCCTAGTACTCCTAAAGAATACAATTTTCAGGCTGAACTGAAAGCTGCAAGTCACTGGAGGTTTTTAAAGGGTAATGAGCATATCAAGTTTGTGACTGGCCCATTTGATGATGAACGAGTTAAGAAGGTTGCCCGAATCGCTTTGAAGCGATGGAATGAGGAATTAGGTAAGATAAAGAATAAACCAACACATGAAGTAAGTGAAAGTGTGGACGATGATGGAAACGAATCGAATGGTTATCACAGCATTGAAGAACGCATTTCAGGTGAACACATTACATACAGATCTTGTGTCACTGCTTGCCGATTTATTCAGTCGTTAAAATCTGCATTAGTTTGAAGACAAAAAATAGCAGTGATTTACTCAGTATGTAATTAATAAGGACACTAACAGTTTTCGGAGCAGCTTGACATTTGTGAGCAAGCATCTGGGACTCGCAAGAAGTCTAGAAAATTCTGTGGAAATTGTCCGGCTGACGGGAAATTGGCTAGATGTAATTTTTTATGCTTATTAATTCCAATTGGGCTTTTCGTTTCTTTCTCTAAGCTTTGCCATTTTACCATAAGGACGTTAATGCGGTAAGGGTTGTCGAAATACAGGTTGATCAAACTTCTAGAAGTGTTATGCCTGCCGACTGATCAAAGGGGCCATTTTAAATTTCGCTAGTCTTGTTGCTTTATAGGTTAAAGCACTGTTTTGCACTGGGATAGACTGCCAGTCATAAGTTGATTTGGCCGTTAGAAAAATTCTTATACCTGTGTGGATACGAAAATAATACATTTCATATCTTTTTTAGATCTCAAAGAGGACATTTTCTCAGTGTCAATGTATTACAAGATGAATGTAGAAGGTAAGTCAATAAACAACCTAAAATCCCACTAACTCGAACTCTCCGCTAACTCGCAACTAATTATTCTTCCCTTGGTTCAAATTTATCTTGATAACTAAGTAAAAACGTCGGTCGATAAACGTCAAAGGCTGTAAGATCTTAGCAGATTGACACATCTTTATCTTTAATCACGATTGAAACGAACGAATCTGTGAAAATGTAAAGCATTTGTCCAAACTTCCTAACCTAAACGGTCTTGAAAAAAAAATTAAATCTTACAAACCAATCAAAAATGTTCGTTTCCTTGGAAAGTTCGAATTAGCGTGGTTCTACTGTATTCTTAAAGCGCGAACTTTCGGAAATGAAATCTTCCTCTTTTAATGGCACATCAGTGTTTAGTAAACGATTAGAAATCGTATTGAAGTATCATTGAACGAACACAACATGTCCTGACTTTCTGTGTGCTCGCTGTAGTAGTTTAACTTGTCATAATTAAGCAATGCGATATCGGAAATCTCTGTCAGGACTTCTACGGTTGGTTCTTCTTCCTGGTCGTGGTTGGGATTTGAAGCAAGTTCGTTTCCAATATTAACAAAATATTCATTTATCAGCTCAACTTTTTTAGAGTTATAATTAGTAATAATCGGATGATAGGTGTTGCAATGGGCAACAACTATGGTTATTCCATTGTGTTTATTTTGATGCTTATTTCGTAACTTGTTTCCAATGCACTAGACATCATTTGGCTTTGTAGCACGGTTTCCCAGTTGGTTGTGCCTGCATGCTTTAAGCGTCTTGGTTGTTTAATTCTATGACTTTTGTTACTTCTTCCTCATGGAAGGAGTTTTATCTGTACCATCGAAGTTTCCTTGGAGTCTATTTTTCCAGTTTCAAGTTTTCCAGTTTCCAAAAGAGGAATACGGGAGAGAATATAGGAAACTTACCCGCCATATTTTTGGAAAGAAAACCAAATGAATCAATTATGGGTCAATTATTACATTAACCCTACCTTGGTGCGTGGAGAACCAACATGGATATTCAATTTGTCCTTGACGTTGATACTTACGCAATGTGCAATGTGTCTTACATCTCAAAAATGCATCATTGAGATTTTGTGAGTTGCTTGGGATAAAGCCAGAGAAGGAAATGCTATTATCAGTCAACAAGTTAGAAATATAGGTAACATTATTTCTAAACAAGGTAAACGGATCAGATTACAAGAAGATGGCTTTTGTTATTTTAGTTACTAATGCGGAAATCATCTCGTTAGGTGGTATTCAGTACCTCTCCTCCTGAAGACGGATTTAAACTTTTGAAATGTTTGAATGAAATCAAGAAACATGATTGTACAGAAATATATACCTATGGATGATTATATAGATATGCCAAACGTAAACTAGAACACTTGACATTTTCTGTGTCTTCTGTCTAGGCTGCGTGGTATGAATACCTGCCCACTCATTTTTCAGTTCTATTTTGCACCGGATTAACTTTTAGACACTACAGACTATATACAGAGTAAAAGTTTTTTGGGCCTAGTGCTTTTGTCAACCTGATTATAACAGAAACACCTACATGCCATAGACATTCAAATCCAAACAATCTCAAAAATTGGTTGAAAAATAGCCCACATGTGATGGATTAGTTTCTAGCGTGACTCTGCGGTATTTCCAACAAACCGCAAATTTTTCTTGATTGTAATTGTCTCGCAATTCCAGAAGACATGGGAAGAACGAAAACGCAAACATAAAAAGAAAATCTACCTCAAGCCTAGAACTGACATGCAGCAAGCGTGAGCTAATCAACTGAGGCTAACATTATCAACATTCCTCATTACTTTCAATATCCGCGACGATTCATCCGTATAGGACATATAGCCTTATGTCATTTTTAGCACGGTTCTATTATTTCGATTGTAATCTTCAGCAGCAGTTAAATGCGCCGTTCAAACGCCTTTTTTGAATTAATCTAATGGTTGTTATCGTGGGAGTGTTTGGGCCAATTTCAGGGAAATCTGTCAAGTTTTCATACTCTAACAATTATCTCAAAGAAGGCACTCTCGCATAACAAATGAAGTAGCTTTTATTCCCTTCTACGGGTTTGCTGAAGTTTCACCCCTTTGGGTGACCACATGTCAAACTATGTAAACACTGACCACTACAAACGCCTGAGGAGTCTCAGGGAAACTCCCACAAAAGTCATACGCCCCCAATTTCGATTTCAAGGCTTTAAGAATTCGTTGATGGTTGATGATCGAAGACTACTTAAACCACACGCCCATAACTGTTTCATTTACACTTTCTCGCCATTCCTTGTCGAATTTCTTTAATTACTTGCTCTTACAGGTAGGCATTTATAGTCTAGTAAAATAAGCAGAGAGGATAACAAATATAACCGCGTGGAATTAAACTTAGGAGAGGTTTGTGCCAACCAAAAGTGGGTTGGTTAGTTTTAAATTTCGTTTCGGTTGGATCAAATAACCGCGCTAGTTATAAAATTTATTTTAGATTCGCAATTGGAGTATTTGTCGATTTTTGGTTACCTGATAATGTGAATGACGAATATATTGTTTATCCATGGGTTGCAAAATCTCGGAAGGCTAGCGAGTGAGCATAGAAAAAATGTAAGTTTGACAGTGGTTTGCCGAGAGTAATCAAAAGCGTCTTTAATGTAACTTATGTGGAAGATGATATTTTTGACGCCCCAAATTACAACGACAGCAGTTTTAGTGTGAAATGGTCTACGGTAAAGTTTTTCAACCCATTGATATGTACCTTAACAAAGATTATCTTCGCCTCTGTAAATGTTCAGACCATCAGTTATGTGTTTCGGTTAATTTCCCATTACTGAAAGATTTTCATACACTCTTCCCTTTTTTCAGATCTTTTGCTGCCTGAACTGGGTTAAAGCCCACTGATCGACAGAAGAAATTTGCCCCCCCTTTGAAAATATGAACAAGCAAAAACAACAACAACAACAAGTTTATTTGTCAAGGCAGGTTACTAAAATAGGCAACACCATAAGTCCTGATGTGGACCTGCACGCTAAATTAACTTTATAATCACAGTTTGGACAAGAAATCTATAAATATAAAGATACAAGGATGCAAGGTGTATAAACATCAAAGCTATTACTATAAACCTGTTTGAAAATACAAATATAAGAGTTGTTATCACGTGAACTCATTATGATGTATGCTTAAAAATAGAAAATCATCATTTTTATTTATAATCATGGATGACTCTTTGGCATATGATATTTTCATCAAAATGTCCTTATTTTCATTCAATTCTTTCAGAAAACTCGGAATAGAGGGACCTTCCTGAATGCGACCTGGAAGAGAATTCCAAGCTATAGCTGCCCTATGCTTAAAAGATAGTCTTCCCATTTCCGTTTTTGTCTAGTGATATTTATATTTAAAACCTTTCTTAGATTGTATCTGTGTTCCTGCTTCGAAACTAAGTTATTAACGGGTAGTCATTAGAGAGACCATAATAT